GGTCTTTATTTTAGCGTTGCTATATTGTACTCGTAGTAGGTTAAACGTTTTTGTCATTTTGAGCGTCGTGTTTCGTATACCTTATAGATTGCGTAACCTCTTTTAGAGCTGGTGGTAACATATTTTATTGTTTTCCGATTGTTATATCCGTTTTTAACACGCCACGTGTGTCTAATCCATGCCTGAACGCATCATGTGTTAGACGGGTGGTTACAGGTATGGAATGCAGAATATGCGACCTCTGGGTACACAAAACCCGCTCGAAGCCCTCAAGCGAGCCATTCAAACCATACAGCAAATAAGTAGATCTTCTGTGGATCTGCCAAGGATGCCGATAGATTGCAAAATCTGCATTAAAAGGCAGAAGAATTTCTCGGATAATTGTGAGGACATGCAAGGGCAAACGCTGCGCGTAAGCGAGTCGTCACTCAAATCACTACCGGGTCAACCAATGAACGCTACTCGGAAAACACCACCCAATCATAAAGGTGAATCGTCGCTTCTGAGGAGCCCTTTGGAGCACTCGACACCCAAGACCCACACCGCGAGTCCGAAAAAGACTCGCAACAGTAATCAGCCTGAAACAGCCATACCCCAAACCAAGCAGAGTATACAAGAGACGACACAGGGTCAATCAACAGTTGTCCCTCATAACCAAACAGTTGTGAAACAACAAAACAACCGTTCCATGAAATCAACCGTGCCTGTTCCAACACAGCCGACTCAACGTGCTGGACAATTAAATAGAAACAAGACAAATACTAAAGGGATCGGGGAAAACAGAGGAAACCCCAAGCCCAAAAAGGACAAGCGCAAAGTAAATGAACTACCCACAGGTTTTCAGAAGGGTGTTCCACCTGATGGTTTCAAGGCAGCTATCTCTCGACTCAAGAAACAATAAGTTAGAATTTGGAACTTGACTCGCCACATGCAAAGGCAACTCATAGAGATCTTGAGGCTCCACGCGTTCTATGAGACCACCATAGGCAGGACGCGCAACGTGATAATCCACGCTCCAGAGCCAGTTATCTCCAACACCGCTCAACGGATCGCCGCAGAGAAAACACTCATTCTGAGTGTGCTGCGCAACGCCGGTTGTCATCCCAAAATGACTTGGAAACGAGCACACAGGCTCGGAAAATGGGTCTCACCGAAACAGGATGGCCTCCCTACCAGTTGACTGCTGTTCGTGGAACTCCACATTGCAAAAGCAAGAC